CCATGAGATACCAAGAAACATCGCTGACAACCCCGTAGAGTCCCTCTTCCAGCTCAAAGCGCGTTCCGTCTCCGTCCTCGCCGCTCACACGCCGATACTGATATCCTATGCTACAGTTCACCGCCAAGTCTCTCCAACGGCAAGCTAAGAAAGCCAACAAGGACGAGGTAGCTGAGAAGAACAAGCTCAAGCAGGTGCGTCCCGTTCAGCTTCGGCGATGGGCGTCCCAAGCTGACCACCGCATAGGCTCTCGCCAAGGGCAACACCGACGGTGCCCGTATCTACGCCCAGAACGCTATCCGCAAGAAGAACGAGGGGCTCAACCTCCTCCGCCTGTCGTCCAGGATTGACGCGGTGGCTAGCAGAGTAGAGACGGCGGTGACGATGCGGTCGGTGACCAACAGCATGGGGAGCGTGGTCAAGGGGATGGACAAGGCGATGGAGAGTATGAACCTCGAGCGGGTGAGCTCCCCTCTTGTAAACGGCTGAGCGGAAGCTGACAGAAAAGTAGATATCACTCGTCATGGACAAGTTCGAGTCCCAGTTCGCCGACCTCGATGTCCAGACATCGTACATGGAGTCGACCATGTCGGACACGACGGCAATCGCTACCCCCCAGGACCAGGTGGACGGGCTCATGCAGCAGGTGGCGGACGAGGCGGGGCTGGAGATCCAGCATGGGCTGGGCGAGGCAAAGGTGCCGGTCAAGGAGCCCAGTGTGGGCGAGGCGTCAGTGAACAAGGAGGAGGACGGGAAGTTGGCAGAGAGGCTGAGGGCTCTGAGGGTGAGTCCCCTTTCTCTCCATTCTGTTCAACGGCTGACAAGAAGACCGCAGCCTGCTACTTGAGAGGTGGATGTACGGTACATGGGTTGTTGTATAATGTTAAATGCACTCGGTCTCTGTCCAACTTCTGCATCTCCTCCTTCCCAGGCCACGCTGCAAAGCCCCCTACACCAGCTTCTTCCCCGTGGGCTTGTCGCCCATTCTCCCTATCCGATCCACATCCGGCGCCCCCCACACCAGCACGTTCCCCTTGCCATCCACCAACCCCCTCTTCTTGATCCAGTCGATATCGCTGAGACGCTTGATGCCCCAGCCTTGCGAAGAGACCGACGCGGCCGCCTGCGCGATCGTGTCGTCCGGGAAGGGAACGCCCTTGGAAGGGGCGGAGGGTGTGCCAGTGGCTGAGGGGCCGGGGTGAGACGTGCCGGGGTGGATTCTGCCCTCGCGGATGTCGTCCTCGATGGAGCGCAGCTTGCTTCGCTCTTCAAGCGGGGGGAGCAAGTCTTCGACGTCGGACTGTGAGGGTGTCAGAACCGCCAAAATATGATGGCTGTGGGAACAATGGGACATACGAAGTCGTCCTGCTTCACCGCAGAGATGGAGTAGGTGTAGACGCCAATCACAAAGGCGATGATGGTACCACCAATGAGCCGGTTGGTGAAGAGGAACGGCTGACGGGCCCGGATGAGAGACGGCGACATGCCCTACGGAGAAGGCAAAGGCGTTAGCGACACGGATGGAAGGAGATGCAGGGCGGACTTACGTAGCCATTGGGACGGTAGGAGTCGTTGACTTGCGCGGGAGTGGGCAGTCGTCCGTTGTTAGACATGTTGGCGTTGTGGGTTATGATATGCAGGTGTTGAGAAAAAGTATGGGTCACAGACGGTGACAGCGAAAGAGCGTGGAAAGAGCGGCAAAAGGCGCGCTGCAAAAAGATGGAATGTGGTTTTGCGTTTCTGGCTTCAAACACCTAACAAGGCGGGATGTGTGAGTGGTCTAAACAGCTGTCTTAAGGCGATTGCTTCGGTAATAGCTCGGCAGTCCTCCGGGGCGTGGGTTCGAATCCCACTTCCGTCAGTTAACTTTTTGAACTTTTTGCCTCCGCCCCTGCCCACAAGGTTCGCACGAGTGTCTCGGCAGCGGGCGGATGACTGCCCTGCGTTCACGTAAGCTGGTGAGCCTCGGTGGGCGTGTTCAGGGCCCCGAAAATCAACAACAAGGCCACATCGTCCCACCTTTTTCCCTCGCATGGCGGGCGCCTTGCTTGCATCTTTTGGCAGACAAGTCGACGTCTTAGAGCAGATAGATTCACATAGAGGACTCTTCCGCTGCATACACACGCAGCAGCAGCCACCGCCCACCCGGCTGTACCCCCCCACAGCCACCCACACTCATTTGAGCGACGCCTCCACCGCACAGACAACCGCCTTCCGCCCCCCGTCGTCTAGTCGTACGATTTCGTCGCTGTTGGAAATAGAAACCCCCTACACTCCGACTTCTCCCTTGTTCATAACACTTGCTCTCTTCTTCACCTCCTTCTTGCCACCCTCACACCCTCTCTTCATCTCTTGCCCCCCTTCTCCCCCCCGACACCGCCCGACTTGACGACACGCGTTCTCGGCCGAACCGAGGTGGTACGACAGCACGTCCAGCGCCAAAGCATCAGACCACTCTTTGCCAAGTGGAGCAGCTCAAGCCGCTGCATCTGATAAACACCCTCCTCGCCTCTCCTCTTCTCTCCTCTCTACAACCCAATCACAGCCACCACAATGGACATCCTCCTCGAGTATGCGGACGAGTACGCCCTCGATAAGGCTTACGCCTACCTGCTCCCCCCCCCCCTTACCATCCTCCCTCCCCATAATCAACACCACCGCCCTCCCCGCATCATACTCGACGTCCCAGACGTACCACCCGTCGGTAGCACCGACGTCTCTCCTCCCACGGGACTCGATGCTCCGCCAGTCCCTCTCCCTCTACGCTCTTGCCCTCGTCGGCGCGTGCATACTCTACTTCCTCTTCTGCTCCGTCTCCTACTTCGTCTTCTACGACCGCCGGCTCGAGCACCACCCCAAGTTCCTGAAGAACCAGATCAGGAAGGAGATCAAGAGCTCGATGATCGCTGCGCCGTGGATCGACCTCATGACGCTGCCGTGGTTCGTCGCCGAGGTGCGCGGGCACAGCAAGCTGTACGAGGACGTCGGGCAGTACGGGTGGGGGTACATGGCGCTTAGCGTGGTCATGTTCCTGGTGTTTACCGACTTTGCTATCTACTGGATACATCGTCTGGAGCACCACCCGCTGATCTACAAGCACATCCACAAGCCTCACCACAAATGGGTCGGTGAGTAGTCGCGTCGGTCTTGGAAATCTGGGATGTCTCTAGGCCGGAGCTGACTTGACACCAGTGCCCACGCCGTACGCCGCGCTTGCGTTCCACCCCGTTGACGGCTACGCCCAATCCCTCCCTTACCAGTGAGCTGCAATCATGTCTTTCCTCCCAGCAAAGCTAACCCTATTCCCCCTCGCAGTATCTTCCCCTTCGTCTTCCCCCTCCACAAATACCTCTACCTTGGGCTCTTCATCTTTGTCCAGCTCTGGACCATCCTCATCCACGACGGCGACATGATCTCGGGCCACCTCCTCGAGCGCTACATCAACTCGCCCGCGCACCACACGCTGCACCACTTGTACTTTACGTGCAACTACGGCCAGGTGAGTCTAGCCCCGCCTGACTGCGGTTTCAGACGCGACGCGCGACATGGCTGACAAAGACTGTCAATATAGTACTTCACCTGGGCGGACGCGTACTATGACTCGTATCGGGAGCCGGCACCCGCGCTCGACCCCATCCACGAGAGTCTCCGGATGATGAAGAAGAAGGGGTTGATCGACGAGGCGGGCAACCCTATCCCGCAGGAGAAGCGGGACAAGGCCGAGTAGAAAATAGAGGGCGTTGGGGTTGGGGGCTAGGGGGATGATGATAATGTCTAACGAACGTGTATGTCTAAGCAACTAGGGGGGAAGGGGGTGGTAGAGAGGCCACGTAGAGAGGGGGCTATCTTGGTCAAAAAGTCATCTAGATCATAGATTCCAGATGCGTGTATACCCTTTTGAGACACCTGTCAAATCAATGGACATCTCGTCTCCGTGTGCTGTCCTCTCTCATCTGGCGGACTTGTGTGCACGATATCTGAAATTAATGGCATGATGGTACAAAAGAGCCCTGTGTGTGTAGCGAACCGCAACCTACTCTATGCTCCCTCGTCGTCGTCCTCAACAACCTCGTACCCCACCCGTGCCCACTCGCCGCACCCTTCACACCCCACCACCTCCACGCCCTGCTCCAGCTGCTCTACAGTGATGACAAACTGCCCAGAGCACCGACACGGATGACTGAACCATACCGGCTCTCGCTCATCATCCCCGCCATCCTCTTCATCCCCCACGCCTGCGTCTCCGGCTGGAGCAGCCCCCCGCGCCTCATAGTGCGGCTCGAACTCATCAAGCGAGATATGCCGAAACACATGAGGTCCTTCTTCCCTCTTCCCTCGCCCTTCGTTGACATCGCCTCTCGGCCGCTCTTCGAAAGCGGCGAGCCACGCTTCCCGGCGAGCAGGATCGCTGAGGACTAGGCGCGCCTCGTTGATCTGGTGGATCGTCTCTGTCTCTGCTATGGAGCTAGAGCTACCTGCAGGGGAGGAAGATGATGAGGTGTTCTTGTCCGGGTGATGCTGTTTCCATTGCTCGTTAGCTGCTGTACATCAAGTCCAATGTCTAGACTCGTGACCAAGATTACGAAGGAAGGCAGCGACATACGAGCAAGACGAGCCGCCGCCAAGCGCGATTCACCTCCGCAGGCGAGGCGCCATGCGCAAGGCCGAGGACGGCAAAGTGGTCGATGGGGGCCTGAGAGGGTATCTTGCTGAGAGAGTTTGGAGATGATGCGTGCAGGCGAAGAAGAGATGAAGGTGAGACGAGCGAAACGACGAAGAATTGGACGGCAAGTGATCGCCTCCACCACACGAGTCACGACCAACAACACCTCCTGGTGGCATTTTCGCTCAACAGTTCTAGACTCTCAGCACGCCAGAATAGTTTGACCGAGCATAAAACACTTTATTCATGCCAAAAGGTGGGCAATAGTGTCAAGAAGAGGCGAAAGATGAGATTTGCGTGATGTAGCGCAGCGCAGCACCCTTAATTTCCTAGTCCGGGCATTGTGCGATAGTGGTTATTCGGCGAGACTTGAATTTTGACTTCAAAGTTATCTCGTGCCGTCAGGCTCACAGGTTCGAGCCCTGTCAATGTCGGTTTTCTTTTGCCTTTTTTTGCTCCTTTGGAGCCTCATCACAAGTTCCCAACGCATCAGGCCATGTCGCTGGCATGGGAGTTGAAACCCCACGAGGCAACTCGAACGATAGAGGGCAAGGATCTGCAGATATAATACACGCCTGCTTCTCAAAAAGTGGCGAGAGTTAGGAGGGCACCAGGCAGGTTGAAGCACACGTCAGGCTCGCCTCTCCCTCTAGCGTGACACCCTACTCGGGCGAAACTCGGCTTTTAACACAGCGGCTGACTTGTCAGCTCACCGGTTTTCTATGCACAAAGCCTCTAGATGCATTACAGCGGCATAGAAGCAGCTGACACCCTGTTGGTGAGATGGTTCAACAAAAACTTCGCCGAACGCTGGTTTTCAGCCTTTATAGTGTAGTTGGTTATCACCGTGGTCTCATATTCATTTATGATCTCTGATTAGAGAGAAATCCGCTAACCTGAGTTCGAGTCTCAGTAAAGGCATTTCCTTTTTGGACATGGCACTTTCATCAATGAAGGCAAGATGTGGGGGAAGAAGGAACGTCGCTGCTGTCTTGCCTTATATTGCTACGTCCAGTACGATCTTTTTGGTGCTCATGCACCAGTCTGCGAAGGTCTGCCGCACTTTTCAAGCATTCCGAGCGAGGTGGTTTGGCATAGCCTCGGGGCCTACTGGCTGAGTTGACGCAGCAAGATGACGATATACAGGACACAGTACATGATGCTCAGAGGACCCCGTATGCTTGTCACCATCTATGCTATCATATCCTCATTGCAACGCCACCACTATTATATCTAGCAGGCTGTACGACTAGCCGTCGAGAAAACATACAGTACTACACTCGTCATCGTGAATCAAAATCTATCCAGCGCGGTCTCAGTCCACGTTTGTCTCCGTGGCCTCTTTGTGCTGCTCGGGCTCGTCGGGATAGCGAGGGCGGGTGGACTCGATGTCGTCTGTGGATTGCTGTTAGCGGAGCTTCCACAGTATGTGCACATCAGTAACGTACCCATGAAAGACAGATACGCCCATTCAACCGCCTCGGCCGCCCAATAGAAATCGCAGTGCTACGCGATGTCAGCGGTGCTTTCCTTTCTGCAAGGTGTGGCAGCTCACCTCGCTCTTATCCAGCTTCGTCACCTTAATCACATTCACATCCTTCTCCTTCTTCTCCAACCTCTCCAGCAACGGCTCCGCCAGCACCAGGAAATCCCGTCCGCCGTGGTAGATCGAGAGCGGGGGGAAGCGGTCGTCGAACCACCGTTCGAGCGAGTCGTCGAGGGTGCATTTGCGGTCGGCGAAGCCGCCCTTGCCGCACCACCAGAAGATGGAGGCGGAGGAGACGGGGGTAGGGGTAAAACGGAACATCTTGGTTTTGCGTCGGTGGAGCCTATCATAAATGAGATGAGTCAGTGCTGCAGTGTCGAGAGAGCCTGACAACTCACCAGTTGGTATCAGTCCACCCAAACAAGAACGCGAACATGATATACCCCAGCGCCGCAAACAACCTCGCCGGAGCATAATCATACGCCCACCGCATCAGCGGGATGAAATCCAGCACCCCAAAGAACCTCTTCCACCGAGACCACTCCATCTTGTTGAGCGCCGTGAACGGGAAACCGGTAGTGAGCGGGCCGGCGTACACGGCGGGCGCGAGGGCGATGAACACGGAGAGCTTCTTGCCGAGGGAGGGGCACATGCCGAGGGAGAGGGAGATGAAGGCGAGGCCGTTGCCTTGAGAGTGGCCGATGAATGCGATCTGGAGAGGGCGTCAGCATAGGGTCGTTGTGGCTATTGGGCGGACGTACCTTGTCGTAGCCGGTCTCACGGCAGACATGCTCCACCAGCGCCGGAAGGTCATACATCGCCAGCTCCCTGATTGTCCAGTCTGCACCATCGTCAGCGCCAATCTCCCTCAGCAGCTATACCGACTCACCCCAGAACCGCGGGTCATTCCTGCTAAAGTTCCTGTGCCCCATATCGAATACGCCACGCGTGTTCCCCAAGTACACCTGGTACTTGCCCTGCTTGGCGAGCCAGAACGCGAGAGAACGGTCCTCGGACGTAACGAACGATCCGGACGACTGGAAGAGGCCGTGCAGTACGAGCACGGGGAACCCGCCTCTGCCGTCCGAGTGGGTGACAGCGTCGGGGTCGATGACGCGGTGCATCCTGCGACGGGCGTTAGCTCGGTCGACGGACGGGAAAGAGTGAGCTACGCACTTGAGGAAATATCCATCCTCCGTCTCCACCGTCTGGTGCTCGATATCCATGCCCACCTGCCTGGCATAGTCCGCCGGATCCTTGCTCACGCGCTTCCCCTCCTTCTTCCAGTACTTCTCATCGTCCCACGGGAAGTTCTTGGGCCGGTCAGGCCACACCCATTTGGGCAGCGCCTTGGCGACCTCCGCGGAAAGCGCCCACAGCACCACGAAGATGAGGAAGTAGGTTGAGAGGATGATGGAGAATGTCTGGATGAACAAGAGGTTGATCTTAGCCCAGAGGGTGAGGGGTTTGGGGGAGATGGGCGAGTAAGTGGAGAGAGAGGGGGGAGGGAAGGTCGGCCGGGTGAGGTGCTGTGATGGGGTGGTGGAGCGGTCGATGAAGATCCTGCGGAGTATACCCCTGCTGGAGCTGTTTGACGCTGCAGACGACGCACGCGACAGCCCGGGCGACCGGCCGCCACCCGCGTACTGCGGCGTCGGCGCAAGGAGCGGCACCTGCTCCGCTCCATCGCCAGCCCGCGAGTAGCCTACACCCTCCTCGTCCACCTCGTACTCTGGCGTCTTGGGGTCATTCCCGCGGACGGCGCGAGCCTGCGCCGAGGCCGTCTGGCTGTTGGGGAGGCTCATGGCTGCACGTGCTGGTGCGTCGAGCAAGGTGGATGGGGGGGAGCGGACGAGGATCGGGGAGGCGCCGTGGGTGTCGGAGCCGGGTTGGGGGAGGGAGCGGGACGGGTGGGGGTTGAGGGAGCTGGTCTGACCGCGCGCTGGATGGTGCTCCTCGACAACGGGGGAGGGGGGCAGCCCTGCGTCCTCGTCGCGCTTCTCGCTGATGATGTACTTTGGGGGAACGAGTGTGGTGTCGCCAGAGAGGGGAGCGCCGCCGGTGGGTGTGAGTGGGAGCTTGGTGGGGGAGGTGGTGGAGATGATGGAGGTGGTCGCGTTCAAAATGGTGGAAGGGAGGAATGAAGCCATGCTGGAGGACAGGGTCAGCTTTGGTGGATCCATGTCGGAGAGTAACGATGCCGTGAACGATCGTGGCACGCCGCGAGCTCACCTGAAGTCACGTTTCGTCGACTTGGTGTCAACAAACCCGGTCCTTTGCAAGTGCTCTTTGACAAGTTTTCGGTGGATGAGAAGCTGAAGAGGAGCAGAGTCAGCTCCATGTCGTATCGGGTCGTCTGCACAATCCTCATCATGGCACACCACTCAGGCCCACTCACTTGACGTTAAAGTTGCCTCCGCTTCTTCCCACGCTATGTACGTACCGAGCGGTGTGTAGACTGTGTACTCCTCCGCTTCCCGGTCGCGGGTTCTTCTTGTCTCACGATATGAGACTAGCGCGATGCCTAGCAATTGACGAATAAAAGGACGAATGTACGAGAGTGAAAGATAAACAGTAGCGTGGAAAGACAGGCAGCTGCTGGGTAAAAATAAGGGAGGATGGCCACGAGCATCCACAAGCAGCACGCGGAGAATTGGGCGAGGGACAAGGAAACGTAAGGGCAGCCAGGGGAGTAGTCTGCGGGGCGGCGCGTTGGTGTTGAGCGGCGATTGAGCAGTGGGTGTGAGACAAAAGGAGATGCAAAAGGAGATGGGTAGAACAGAGAGTAGATGACGAGCGTGACGTGGAGGAGAGGGGTCTTGGAGCTCGATCGAGATGGGACGATGATGGGTGGCTTGCTGCAGAGCGGACAACATGGTGCATCAACAACAAAGCGTCAGGAGATTCCAGGACAACGGATCACGTCCCTGGGTCTGGCCCTCTCCCCGCGGAGTGGCAATAGCCGGAGGGATGGAAGGGGAAGCACTCTCTGCAGCACGCTCGCTCATTCCTTGTTGCATGCACACAGCATATGCAGCTCAGCACCTTACCAGCGGCACATGCAAGGAGGGAAGATACAGAAAGAGCTCCAGCAAGATCACGGCTGCTGGAGGAACAGGAACCTGATGATGTCACACAAACACGCGACTTCCTCGACAGACATCGTCTATTGCCACCGCGTCGTCTCTTGCTTCGACTTCGTCTTTCAAGATCCATACATACAGGCAGAAACACGCATCCTCAGCTCCGCATTCAACCCACCTAGTGCGCAAAGACCCGCGAGGCCGCCTTACGACAATGTCTCCACCTGGAGGGTACAAATCGCCTTCGCCCACCCGCAGAGCATCGTCCAGGCAAAGACGGCAGCCGCAACCAGAGGCTCGAGAGGACGACTGGGAATCGTCCTCGGACTCGGCGCCGCCGTCCCCCCAGCCTCGCACCCCTCAACGCCTCCCAAAACCCACCCCGGGACGAGCCTCCCCTTCCATATCAGCCTCTTCGTCCGCACGGCAGTCCGCTCCGCGGCGGAGAGAACCCGTTCGGCGACGACCTGCCATACCGTCGGTGTCGTCCCCAAGACCGTCACAAGCCCGGCCTCCGACACCTGGCAAGCTGCCTCCAGCACCTCGCCCTCCACTCGCAGACACCCTCCGCCTCCTCCTCACTCCCTTCCAGCTCGTCCTCATTCCTCTCGAAACCATATTCTCACCATTTATAGCCCACGCCGTCAACGCCGTGCTGCTTGCGCTCTTTGCGCTGGGGGCCATCTACTTTGTGCTCCCCCGGATACCAAACCTGCTACTATGGGCACTGGGGAAGACAGCAGGGTGGATCTTGGGTGATATAGGCGACCGGATAGTGGGCCTCGGAGAGGGTCTCGGCCCCGTGGGGCAAGTCATCCTCGCCTTCCCCGTACGCACGCTCTCCACACCCGCATGCGCCCTCACAGGCCTCGGCTGCCAGCTGTCGTTCCTCTCGTCCCTCCATGCCACTTCGCAGGATGGCGGGACGATGGCCAAGCCATTCTGGGAGTGGTTTGGGGAGGAAGAGAAGGGAAATGATGTGGATGTGGGCCAGGTGGCTAGGGCGCTCACGAAGGAGGTGCGCCGGGCGCGGGATATATTCGATAGTGTGAGGATGCTGGGGGATGAGAGTGCTGTGGGGACGCTGGAGCATGTCAGGTGTGTGAGAACGGTATGTTTGTTTTACACGCTGAGGCTGATCGACGACAAATTAGGATGTGGGAGCTAGGCGTGACCGTCATGACGGGTTCGAACCTGGAGGACAAGGAGTACTTCGGGAAGCAGCTTGTAGAGGTGAGTGGAAGTATCTTATGTCATACTTTGACTTTGCCGCAGGCTGACGACTGTGACAGCTGGGTAACCTTGCGCGAGATTTGACCGACGAGGTTGTCCACATCGACTCTGTCAGCGTG